ATATAATTATGACATCATTTGTTACAATATTACTATTATATATTATTATATTATATTATATTATATTACGAGTTTGAATTTTAGATTGAGAAGATTGTAAATTTTAAATTTCATTAGGGGTATTATGGCTATTATGAAAGTTTCATTAATTGTACTATGTTGATTCCCGCACAATCTAAAAGCTAAAGTTGTCTTTAGGTTGTTTCTGATTTTGGCTGTAGATTCTTAAAAAATTCTTCAAAAAGCACTTTTAAAAAGATTTACCAAACATTAAAATCAGCTTCTCCTATAAGCAGAAGTTAATTTTGAAAGGAAAAAGTAATACCAAACTAAGACAACATATTTCTTTAACCATCCAATGCATGACAACGACGACGTGTACGATAAAATAATAACAATAACAAAACTGGAATTAGAGAAATCAACTTGCTATGGTTCCTAGAAAACAGAACACGAAAAGCTTGTCATCAAAATAACGAAGACTTAATAAAATACAGCTACAAATGTAAATAGAACATGTCAATAACGTTATCATCATGAGAGAGAAGTTAATTTGGGCAACCGTCGTCCAAACATCCCATTCAAAAACGAACTCTTGTCCTTCATCTTCAAATAACAAACCAATTAATAAAAATATTCTGACTTTTATACGAGACTCATTAAACGTTGTGGAGAATGAAATGTTGCATATTATTATTAATTAACCAAGTAAGTAAATTCATATATTTAATTGGGAATTACAGTGAATTTTCCTCATAGCATGGTAAACCAACCCATGCAAAATATTCCAAAACGAAAGCTATAGCGCTTGGCCTTTGTCAACACCCATTTGATCTAGCTATTATCTATTTCGTTACGTTACTGCTTGTTGCCCTACTATAAATACAACATTATATGCTTGTGTTAAGATATCACAAAACATTAATAAAAGTATTCTACTAAGAAAAACATATCTCCTCAACATTTTCTTATCCATATATAGCTTTCACTCTTTTTTTTAATCCTTATTATCAAAATCTCAACTTTCAACAATATTATGGCAAGATTTGCCATTTGGCTAGCGTGCGCTTTAGCTCTTTTAGCTTCCTCAATATCCTTCGCTGCAATAGTGGAGCATTCTTTCAATGTAATTATTTCTTTTACTTAATAGTTTGTAAGGTTTGCACATTTTACTTCCTTCATATATACCTAGTTTTAAGTTCCTTAATGCTTTAATTAATAACGTATATATTTACGTGTGCAGGTTGAAAATTTTGTGGCGACGAAGCTCTGCCGCGAGCAAGATATAACGGCAGTAAATGGAGGATTGCCTGGACCAACAATAGGCGTTAAAGAGGGTGACACTCTTGTCGTCCACGTCTTTAACAAGTCGCCATACGGCATTACTATTCATTGGTATATGAATTATCGAATCAGCTCTAGTGTCATGTATTATATACATATATGCATATTAATTATATATACACATTAATTATAAAGAATAGCATAGATTCAGTTTAGTTGCTTACAAATTAATAAGCCTCTAATTAAAGAACTCTAATACATGAAAATGATTGAATTTTTATGAATTCTATGATCAGAATACTTATCCTAAAATTAATTTAAATTTTGTTATCATCAGATATGTACAAGATCAGAGTGGAGCGAGGCAGGACGTACATGTTGAGGATCATCAACGCTGCACTCAATAACCAACTCTTCTTTAAGATTGCCAATCACACGATGACTGTTGTTTCCATCGATGCCAGCTACACGGATCCCTATGAAACCGACGTTATCGTCACCGCCCCAGGCCAGACCGTCGACGTCCTCATCAAAGCCGACCAGCCGGTCGGGTCGTACTACATGGCGGCGCGTCCGTACATCAGTGTTCCTCTGCCGACTGTCATACCATTTGACAACACAACCACCAGGGGCATTTTCGCCTACGAGGGTTCCGAGTCAAACAACTCCGTGATGCCAACCCTACCTGATTTCCTTGACACCCCAACGGCTCACAAGTTCTACACCAACCTGACAGGGCTCGCCGGTGGACCCCAGTGGGTCCCTGTCCCGCTCGTCGTGGACGAACACATGTTCGTAACAGTCGGACTGAGTACGGAGCCGTGTGAAGAGATTAATGCCACGTGCCCGAACGGGCAAAGATTCTCTGCTAGCATGAACAATGAATCATTCGTTTTCCCGCAGAACGCGTCTATGCTGGAGGCATATTGTTATGGCCGTGTGGACGGAGTTTACACCACTGATTTTCCCGACAACCCTCCAATTGTATTTGACTACACGAACCCGAGCTTAAGCAACGTCGAGCCTCTGATTTTTGCGCCGAAATCGACGAAGGTGAAGAAGCTGAAGTTCAATTCGACGGTGGAGATGGTGTTGCAGAACACGGCGTTACAAGCGGCGAGAACCATCCGATTCACATCACACGAGGGCTTATAACTACGTTTAAAATTTAATCAAAATAAGATTGCATATAATATTGAGTTTTTAGAAGTAAGGGCTATAAGATTAATTTTAGTAGGTACTAATTTGTATCAATCTAATATGATATATAATTACATATATAAGATTTTTAAAACTAAAAAATTTGAGTGGGGGAGCCCCCACTGGGCATGCCCTGGCTTCAAGCATGATTTTACGAAATCAAAAGCGACAAAAAAAGGAGATAACACCAAACTTTACACTCATTCTCATTTATGTCCTACAATCTTTAGAAACTCTCACGTTATTACTTCAAACTTTGATTTAGTCTTACTTCGAATTTATAACGCTAATCTACAATACAAATCTTTTTTATTTTTAGTCTTACTTTGAATTTATAACGCTAATCTAAAATACAAATCTTTTTTATTTTTTTCTTTTATTTTTGTTAAAATTCAAGTTTTATCTTGGTTAAACAATAACTGTGTTATTTACGGCGGGATTACAATTAAATCTATTTATAGGCTTCGTTCACTTCGTAGATTTGAATTTTCAATTTGAGTTGGGATGTGACATTTTCTTATGGCTTTTCACTGTAGCAGAAAAAGTTAGATGTAATATTTTCTGAGTGCTTTTTACTATAGAAACTTAAAATTGAAAACTCGAATCGGTGAAATAAACGAGTCCAGCTTCTCTTTTTTAGTATATTCTACTTGTTTTCAATGAGAACTCTAAAACATGAGGTTAAGTGAGTTTAATTCAAAGTTTAGATAAAAAATTAAGAGATTTTAATGATTAAAGGCAAAGTGGGAGTAAGTATAACATTTTGGGAATAGATTGAAAAATCACTTTTTGCGTTGAATTTTGATTTTGTTTATTTAAATTATTTAATAATTTATTTCCTAAACATAAAATAGACGAGTAATCACCTATAACGTCGACAACAGTTGTTGCTAAAATGTGAGATATAGCGGCAACTATTTTTGAGAATAAAATCTAACAAGCATCGAAAATTTAAAAGTGGGGTCTACTTTCAGCGACGATAAGGCTGTGCACAATAAATTGTACCATCTGCAGGTAGAGGTGTCAAATGGGCCGGGCTGTCCATGGACGGCCCGGCCTAGCCCATAATAGTGTCAGATTTGGCACGGCCCGGTTCGCTACTGTTACGGGCCGTGCCGGCACGGCACATGTAATGGGCTAGGGCTGGGCCTCAGCTTCTCAGCCCGCGGCCCAAGCACGTGAAGGCCCACGGCAAGGCCCTTGTTCGGCCCGGCCCAAGCCCTGATTCGGCCCTTGTTCGGCCCGGCCTAAGCCCGCGAAACGGCCCATCAAATGGCCCATTTCATTTGGTCCAGGGGCCCTTCGCGGGCCTAAACGGGAGGCACGTGACGGACCTCCTGTTTGGCCCGTCATGTGCCTCCCGTTTGGCACGTGATGGGCCAAACGGGAGGCCCGTCACGTGCCACCCATTTGGCCCGTGAAGGGCCCAACGGCTAAAAAGCCTAAAATCTGAAAATTCACCCCCAAGATCCCTTATAAATGCCCCTTAATTCCACCATAAATCTCACAAAACAATTCACTCTCAACTTCTCATATCACTTTCATTCTATCTCTCAACTTGTCTCTTTGATTTTGATTCTAAGCTTTTCTCTCGCGTTCATTCATTTTCTAGCTCTTTCATTTACAAAGTTCAATCAAGTTCTATCAATTTCCAAAAATGGCTTCTCCAAACTTTCCTGATTTCACTGCTCTTCTTGAGCTTGGTGATGAGCCATTTTATGAGGATGAAATGATGCCTCCCAACCCCACCCCCACTGAACCAGAAAATGCTCCGGTGGATATTGCTTCAGTACACAACGAGGAAGCTGGAGAACGCAACAGAGGAAAAAGACCGTGAACTTCTCTGGCATGGCAGCATTTCACTGAGGAGCCCCGACCAAATCCAAAAACAAGTGAAATGGAAATTCGTGCGGTATGTAAATATTGTAAAAAACACTTTTCTAATAAAAAGGGTGGGGGTACTGGTCATCTGGATAGACATTGGAAAGTATGTCTACCGTTGCACCAAGGTGGGAGTGTGGACTCCCGCCAACAAACACTATCACTCACATCACAGGGGTTACAAAATTTTACATACGATGCACAACGTGCTCGTGAGGCACTAGCTAAATTTCTAGCTAATGCCGAATTACCTCTTTCTTTTGCAGATGATGCCTCGTTCGACAGCCTTTTGCCCACAATTTAAACAGGTAAGTAGAAACACAACTCGTTCTGATTGCATGAAAGTTTTTTATGCAATGAGACAATCTCTTGTTGATAATTTTAGGACTTTTAATGCTACTGTCTCTTGCACTTCTGATCTGTGGGAGGGGTGTAATAAAACTGGATATTTATGTGTCACAGCGTACTACGTTGATGACGATTGGATTTTACGCCACAATTTAAACAGGTAAGTAGAAACACAACTCGTTCTGATTGCATGAAAGTTTTTTATGCAATGAGACAATCTCTTGTTGATAATTTTAGGACTTTTAATGCTACTGTCTCTTGCACTTCTGATCTGTGGGAGGGGTGTAATAAAACTGGATATTTATGTGTCACAGCGTACTACGTTGATGACGATTGGGTTTTACAAAAAAGAATAATTGGTTTTCGTTTATGTCCATACCCTCATAACACAATAGCTATTTTTAATACAATAATGGAAATTTTTGAGTTTCATGGGATAGAAGATAACTTTTGATAATGCGTCAGCGAATACAGCTGCAATTAATTTGTTTAAACGTAGTTTGAAACTAGCATTTAGAGGGGAAATTTTTCATCAACGGTGCGCATGTCACATAATTAATTTAGTAGTTCAGGCATGAATTGAACATATCTCAGCTAATCTTACAAATATTAGAGAATCATTATTGTTCATATCTAGTTATGGAGCTCGGCTCCAAGAATTCAAACAATATTGCAGGAATAACCAGATGCGCCCAAGAAAGTTTCCAACTGACGTGAGACATAGGTGGAATTCAACATATTTAATGTTGAAGGCAGCACTCCCGTATTCATAGCTAATCACGACATACGTAAACAGTAAGAACGATCAAATTTCAATTTTCGATCCTGATTGACAGATTGCTGAGTATTTTTTTAAATTTCTAGAAGTTTTTTACAATGCTACTGAATTACTTTCTGGAGTTTATTATCCTACTGCACATTTAGCTTTACATCAACTATTTAATATTTCAGAAACATTTTCTTATTATAGGGATACATAACTTTTTGGAAATATAGTTAACTTAATGGAAAATAAATTTAAAAGTTATTGGTCAGGTTGTCTCATGTTATATGCATTGGCAACCATTTTAGATCCTAGGTGCAGAGTAGATGGAACTGAATCATTGATGACTACGGCAACTAAGCATTACTAACGCTACGAAAATGTTTGAAAAAGTTTTTAGTTTGTATGAAGCAAAATATAGCACAGGTCAAAAAGAATAAGGAACTTTGTCGTCAACTAAAAGTTTGAGGCCTAAAGGATCGTCGTGGAGTTTCTTGAAGAAGAAAGAGAAAATGGCAGGATCATCCTCAACACAAGCGTCTACAGGACTAGTCAAATATTTTAAAGAAAATCACATAATCGATGAGACAAACTAGACATCTTACAGTGGTGGAAGAGCAAGACCGATCGTTTTCCAACACTGTCCATAATAGCTCGTGACATTCTTACAACTCTAGTGTCAACGGTAGCATCGGACCAAGTTTTTAGGCAAGCAACCGAATTCTTGACAAGAAGAGAAGCAGAATGCATTCAGATATCTTGGAGGAACTAATGTGCCTTAAAGACTAGGAAGATGCCAGAAGACGAAAACAACAATACACTGATGATTCGATGCAAGAATATTTTTCTAACTTAGAAATAACAGAATCTTCTGGAAGCACTTAGGTTTGTAATTTACTATTCCTAGCTACTGCACTATTTTTTCCTTCGCTAAGGTTTTGTCCCGATCTCCCCACGGGTTTTACTTAGCAAGGTTTTTAACGAGTAAGTCATTTATGTGTACTCCTATTACGCCAATTCAATAAAATCACATCTTTTGGGGCATATGATATATTTTTTTAATTAAATTTTAAAAAAAATACAAGGGCCGGGGCCGGCCCGTGAAGGGCCTAGGCCCAGGCCCGGCCCTGGCCCTTATGGACTAGGGCCAAGGTCCTAGACCGGGCTTGAGTTTTTCTTCTCAGGCACGGCCCTGCACTGTGCAGGGCCGTGCCAGGCACGGCCCAGGCCCGTAATGGGCCTGGGGTCAAGCGTGCCGTGCCGGCCCGGCACGGCACGTTTGACAACTCTATTTGCAGGCAAAATTTGAGCGTACAAAAAAGTTTTAACGATGGCTCATGTTGCTAAAAGTCATGGCACATAACTGGATAAAATGCTCGTGATACAATACTTGGTGACGACACTGACATGTATCGTCGCTAAATGTTGACCATAAAAATGATGCAGTGAAAATTTGGTTTTTTCGTGCCAAAAGGGGTCAGATTCTTTCATTTGTCATCGCTAAAACCTTTTTCGTCAAAAATTAATCTGAAATTTAAGCGGCTAAAAAATGCAGGAGTTTGACTTCTGAAGATATTTTCAGAAGTTTTAAGAACGACACGTGTCATTGTTAAAGATTTGTAAACGTAATATAATTATTTCACAATATTTTAATATATTATCTAAATGACATCATTTTATAAGCCTTCAGCGACCACAAGAATGATTTCATCGCTAAAAGTGATTTTATAAAACCATCATAATCCTTTTTTTCTCGATAAACTGTTCTCCCTCTCTCTCTCTCTCTCTCTCTCTCTCTCTCTCTCTCTTTCTCTCCTCCGATGAAAATTCACTGCTAAAAATCACATTCAGTGACAACATGTCGTCGCTAAAAGCCCATTGTTTCACTTGATCTCCATTCATTGACGACTGGGAAGGATTTTTAGGACGACATGTTATTGCTAAAAAGGGAGTTGAAATAGTCAACTTTTTAGCGACGAC